CAAGCAAGTATTTGATTATACAACAAAACTAAGTCATCTGGTTGAGATATAAAGGTCGCGAAACTAAGACACCTTTCAGTGTTCGTTTATCGTCAACAACTAAAGGTCATCTAATAAACATGAAAGTGGTACGTAGTGTTTGAAATTGTGATTAATCAACGGAAAAATAATTAACAGAAAAATCATTAATTTAAATGTGATTGTTTTTCATTAGATAGTAGCTCTATGCCTGCTGGTGAGCGTTGCCCTGGCAGCCCCACCTCCAGTATACAAAGCTACAGATAGCCAAAATGCTGCTATTCTGCGATTCGAAAATGAAAACACAGGCACTGGCTCCTACAATTACGCGTAAGTAGATCATTGCATATCTTACCATTTATTACCAATTATTGCACACTAGCTATCGCCCGCAACTCCATTCGCGAGGAGTTAAAAAAACTGAATTAGTAGCCTATGTAATTTTCCAGGGTGTATTCTACATATATAAGAAATTTCAGTAAGATCCATGCAGCCGTTCTGGAGATACCTTCAAACAAACATTCATCCATTCATCCACCTAAACGTTCGCATTTATAACATTAGTACGATTCTCAGTACCACTTTAATTCATATATGACAATATAATGAGTTTAGATTTAGTGCAAAAAGCGATCACTTTATCACAATTATTGACTGAAACTTAAAACACAACATTCCTCTACATTTGTTTTAAATAAATCGTGTGATTTTATTTATGTTGCAATGTCTAATTAATAGGTAACACGCTTTCTCTAAATTCAAGAGCATCTGATCACTTTCATCTTTACCTTTAAATTATTAAATGTAATGTTTTCTATGTTATTTGAAAGAGAATAAGTGGAATCATATTTTTTAAAAGATTGTTTCGATAGTTAAAACACACAGTTAGTCGTAAATCTGCTTATTTTGAAACAACTAAACTGTCAACTGGATTGTATACCGTATTAATGAATACAAATACCTGTAAGTTTCGTCAACACGCGGAGGCGAGTGTGTAATTTAGCAATCAAGTTAAAGCAACATACCACAGGTGTCTCTTTCACTTAAAGTTAGACAGAGGAATGACCCAAACGATTAACTTTAGTCCCCTTCATTTGATAAAGTATGACACAGAAATATCAATGTATGATTAAACGCTGCATGTTCAATATGACGGCTAAGATTTGATGCTCAATTAAGCTAGTTACATACCTTCATTTTGAAATGAACACATTTAAAAACTGAACAGTTAAGCTTGCAGTGAAACGTGTTACATACCTTCAGTTGTATAGCACAGTTTTAACTGAACACTCTGATTGTATAGTTAAAATATACGTATGTAGGCGAAACTAAGAACTGTAGAATTTTTTTTAATTAATCCTCATTTAATCCGTGCAATTACAGGAAATATAATATATTAATACATTTACATTTACATTTGTTACAATCGCAGATTACGAGAGGGAAAAAATGCAAATTTCAAATATCAGTTTTAAATCAAGGCAACAAATTAAAAATACTCGGTCCAAAATTGTCATTGTCAAGGCAGACTGGAACTAATAAATAAAAAAGAAAGGAATGGTAGAATAAACTACGCGTTTGTCTTTCAATCAAAAAACTGGTTTTTGGTAGAACATAACATGCATGATATTATTAACAACATATAATACATATCAAGGAGATTTGCACCAATTAAAACAGACACGAGACTAAGATGGAAGGACAATAATAATAATTTGATAGACACAACGCTTTAATTTTAATCAATCGAATTGTTATGGTCATGGCCGTTTTTCAAGGGTTTTAATAACATACTAGCAATAAGAGGTACTTTAAAAGGCAAACAAAACTTTTTACCTTGTTATAGTGTGCTAAATATAATCAAAAACATTAAAGTACAGATAAATCGATGTTAGTTTTTTAGTCTTCGAACGGAATCTGTTCGCTGCCGGATAGCGTTACCTACCCTACCAGGTAGAAAAAAATCTTAGCAAAATCCTTACAAATGTTTTTAGAGCGTGGTACGTTCTTATTCTTTGGTACTAGTCACATAGAATTTTGGTTGGTCACATTACATTCGATGCTAACCGATGAGAAGCAGACGTTAATTATTTTCCTTATTAATATCAGTATTGTAAAACCTAATTTTTTTTTCTCAGATACGAACAAACTGATGGCACGAAACAGGAACAAGAAGGTACATTAGTAAACGCTGGACTCGAAAACGAACACATTGTCGTCAAGGGTAGATTCACTTTCATTGGAAGCGATGGCGTTACTTACGTGGTGACTTACATCGCTGATGACAAAGGATACCAGCCCGAGATCGAACAGGGACCAGGTGGCGCCGTCCCTGACTCCGTCGTCGCTTCTCTCCTCGGTTAAAAACGAAAAGACTTATTAAATTGTTATTAAATTTTAAATTAAGAATTCGCGTTTTAATTTCTCATTTACAAACCTACAGGTTGTAGTACCTGAGTACCTGTAGAGTACAGTATGTATATTTAAAAATTAATTGAATAGTTTCATAACTGAGCCTTTGAAGTACTAAGTCTTTGAAGTATCGATTTAATTTTGTATGGAGACTAATGTTGTACTATAAAAATACAATTCATCTTAGACCAATGAACGCTCCATGGAATTAACCCATTAATGTTAATGCTACAATTAAACTGAACTTTTTTAAATGTTAACTCGTTAAATTTTAACTTAAAATTATTAAAACCAAACTTTTGAACATTTCAGCGTCATTTTAATAATTATAATTATTTGCCCGCAAATTCGTTTTAGCAAAATAAAAAAGAAATCTCTCTCGTTCAAAAAATAGTACGCGATAGTGTATCTCACCAACAGTGAAAGAATTTTTCCAATCGGTCCAAAAAATTAATTCTAATGCCACCGAGGAAAAACTACAATATTAATAAAACCTAATAATATCACGCCAACATAGGAATTTTATACAATTGACCTTTCCATTAATTTTTTGTCGCAATCAATAGATCAGTACATGTATATTTCAATTTAATATTTTTTGTTTTCTTTCGCGTTTTAACGAAGTTATGGCAATTTTATTCTTTTTCACTGTCTCCGCGTATCCATTAACATCTAAAATTACATTTCCGAATGACATTTACCAAATGTATATATTCCTAACAAATATGACTAATTTAATTTCTTTGATTGTAATTTTAGGAATTATAGGTATTCAATGACGGAATACATACATTTTGGAATAGAAAGGGGAACTAGATTAGGATTAGGCGAAGAAGGGGTCGCATAGGAAGGGGAAATAACCTCTTTCTATGCGTCCCTAGCTCCATCGATTAAAGGCATTATTTGCCTTTATGTTTTCCAGATTACGATACTTAAAAAATATACCACACCTACAATGATATTTAGTTTGTCGAATTTCTAAGTATTATGAGTTTTTTAAAATTATTTATAACATTATAATATTACTAGGTGTCACCCCGACCCCGTCTCCGTGCATTAAAAAAAAACATAATTAGTAGCCTATGTGTTCTTCCAGACTATGTTCTATATGTATGCCAAATTTCATCAAGATCCGTTAAGCTGTTCTGGAGATACCTTCAAACAAACCATCCATCCAAACATTCTAATTTATAATATTAGTATGAAGTATGTTAAGCAAAAATTTATGTCTAATGAAGACAAAGTTTGTACAAATGTCCATACATCTCAACATTCCACTGAAAAGTAAAAAGTAAAAATTTCTGAAATATTTAGAATATCGGCAGACATCGTATTGATAGTACTCTCAAACATAATAAGAGGAGTATAGTACATTTAAAAATTACATTTTAACCCATGTGACAAAACCAGATATAAAATAAAGTATAATGTAATGCCCGTGAATCCGAGGGCATTAACTAGTAGCAAATAAATGTCTCTACATTTTAATATCTTGACATTTAAATAAATTACCTTTGAAAAAACAAATGCATATTTTTTTCTTTTTTCATACTTTTTGTGGCATTGATAAATTTATTTAAATGACACGAACAAAACCATTTTAGTTATTAAACTTTAAAAGGTTATTTATTCATCTCCTCTATAATTTTAATAATCTTTTACTATTATCGTAATCATGTTATGCTCATATAATACAATTCACATAAGATATGTTTCATCGGTTCAAGAGTTGGTTATGTCTATACTCACAAGATTATAAGGCCAAGAAAAAGATTGCATGAAAGATGAAATTATAAAGATGGAAGTGACGACTGAGATTAGAAAAATCTGCTCCATCGACTCTACGGGAGTCCGATAATATGATAATATTGAATATCATCATTAAATTGCATATTTTTGTGAAAATACTTTAAACTGCAGAACATTTAAGCCAAAAAAAATATAGCCAATAATATCCAGTCAAAAAGATGATTAGAATGGGTGCACAAGTGACGACTGAAATGATGGAAGATACGTGGGATGAGGACAAGGGCTATGTCTATCTATGATATAACTTCAAGAACGCCGGCGCCACAAAAACAGGGATACTCTCATTGCGTTTATTGCTTTATTCGTATTAATTAACTACAATAAAACAACTTCCGCGGTTAATTAAGACGAAAAGAACATTTCTATTTTAATTTGATCTGTAATAAAAAATGTAGAACATGCGTATAACAAGTTAAAAGGGTCGTTAACCACGCCTCTCGCTCACAATACTACACCATGAAACAAATTAAGCAATTATGCAATTAATTAATTAATAAATACCGTATGATACTTATTATAGGCTCTGGAACAACGTGTCAATTAAGTATTTGCAAGGTCTATCAACATTGACCTTTATGTAGTTACTTAAGAAAGATGCATAGGTCACTCCGATTGTTAACTAACACACACGTATGCAAACCCTCACCAGCGAAAGCATCAATATAACTATTACAAAGAAAGATGTTTTCGTTTGTACATACGGCTAGAAGCGACCAAGTTTTACGGCTATGTTGCAACCGAGCTCAAGAAGAAATACATTCATATATAAGACAGAGGTTTGAATACGTAACCATCACACAAACTGTGCGTTCTTAGAAGACAACAGTCGTAAATACACAATAGGAAAGATGAAATTGGTCAGTAGTCAAATTAAAGTTATTGAAATTATTGTGACGTGAACTGTGAATAATGTGCCTTGCTTCATGACAATGTTTTGTTTCAGTTTGTTGCCCTCGCTATTATTGCAGTAGCCACGGCTGCACCTCAAAACCCCCAAGACGTCCAGATCCTGCGTTATGAGAGCAATAACGCTGGGCTTGACGCTTACAACTTCGCGTAAGCAAGCTTTTATTCCCAATCACAGTGCTAGCATATTTTTAAATCGAAAAGAAATATATTGACTGTTAAAAACACATAGAGATAAACTTAAGCTCATTATTCAGTGGGCTTTTTAAAATCTGCAATGCAATTTTTGGAAGGACACGTGGTTATCCTTTGTATCACTACCATTTAGAACAATATTTTCTTTTTCTTTTATTACATTTCGATAATGTCGAGAACGAAATATGCGAAACTCATCTTTTTTAAACTGTTTTATAGTTTGCTTTAATAAAACTTAGAATATTATTGAATTACAGATGGGAACTATCCGACGGAAGCTTACACGAAGAGCAAGGTCAACTAAAGAACCAGGGAACTGAAAATGAGGGAATAGCTGTTCAAGGAAGATACGCTTGGGTCGGACCTGACGGCGTAAACTACATCATTACTTACGTTGCCGATGAGAATGGATTCCAGCCAACAATACAACAAGGTCCCGGAGGAGCGATCCCTTCTGCAGTAGTTGCTTCGCTTTTAGGATAATTTTATTAAGGATGTCTTGAATTAACACAATTTGTAAATAGTACAACTATAAAACCTTATATAATATTTATATAAGTTCGATAAATAATGTAAATAAAGTGTTATAATTTTTACAACCTTTTCATTTATAATTTATTAATTAATAACATTTCGTGATAAAAATGTATTGATAGTGGCTAAAATTATTACGTACTAGCCATAGCCCGCAATTTCGTCAGCACGGTATTAAAAAAAATCTATTAATTTTGGTCTAAGATGTGATAGTTTAGCTTCTCAACAGTGATATTTTTTTTATTAAATCAGAAATTTCATGGCCTACTCAAAGCCAACAAACAATCAAATCACACTTATCCTTTCTTTCCCGCGAAATGACATCAAACATACACGTTCATTGGTCAATCAATGAATTACGTTAAAGCTCAGTTAACTCATTATAAATGTGCGAACAGTTGGCTTGACTTCTTTAAAAGTCTCGCAAAATGTTTTTTTTATTATTTCAACTCGTGCGTTTGTTAAATGTTGTAGCATATTATACGTGCAATACCTAATGTTATTATCAATTTCAAAATAAATGTGGCGAAATTTTGGCATCAAATAAATTGTATTTCGAATTATCATATATAAAAGCCTCCATCGAATTCTGAAACATTATGTGCGCTGTGACTAAGAAATTTGGTGTTGAACAATGTTTGAAACTGTCACATTAATTTGTCACCACCACACAAATTTATTTTGTGTATTATGCACATATAAATATTAAGAAGTTTGAGTACATTCTCGTGTGCTATAGAAGCGAATTACTATTTGCAACATGCAAATGTTTACGATCCATAGCTTCACAAGTATATTCATGACCACTTCAGCATTATTATGGCTATATATATGGCTGGCTGAATATGCCATTCTCTTTAAAGGATTTTCAAACATTAAAAAAAGAACTAAAAAAACATACACGTATATAAATTGTGCAAATATTTTTTTGATTTAAAACTAGTTTATTCAATCATAAAAGCTTATTTTACTTTTATATTATAATACCATAGACAACGAGTTGATCGTGAATTTATCTGCCGAAGTACAGTACAAGTACATATAGTTATCTCCAATTTATCAGGGAATTAATGATGTTCATATGTTTCTGGGTTATGGTCAAGGAAAATTTAAGCTTAATTTTAACAGTTCCCAAATATGTTTTGTTAATTTTTGTCTTCAATGACTTCAGTACAAAAATGTCTTTAAAGGGTAAATTTTTTATTCCGGCTGTAAGTAAATTATGGTCTACTATTTTAAGAATGAATGTTGACATTCTATATTGATATACATCTTAAAATAACGATTCTTTCTTAGTTTTGTTTCAGGGAAATAACTGCCACAGTCTGACAATATTATTTTTTTATTTTAACAAAGTCGAGTAGTTTACCTTCATTGCAGCTTCTTAGTTAAGATTTACAACAAAACAATACATCTTATTAAGATATAAATTTTGCGAAGAATGCTAAAAACGTTTATTTTACCTTTAATCAACCTACGATCAACTGTTAAAAATGAAAGCGGTAAGGGACATTTATTTAACTAAAGACAAAACGTGAATTCGCCGTTGTCTCAAACAAATCAGTACGAATTTAATTGGTAGAGAATACTTATGTAATTAAAAAATAAAATGTGTATTAAGAATATAAATTTTATAGACAAGTTTATATACAGAAATTTTTACTCGTTATGTTTTAATCATCTTATATGTAAAATTCTCGTGTCACAATGTTAGTTACCATAATCCTCCCAAACGACTGGACCGATTTTATGAAATTTTATATGCATATTCAGTAGGCATAAGAATCGGCTACTATTTATTTTTTAAACAAGCGGAGAGCTGGATGAGAGTGGCCGAGGATCGTGCTCAGTGACGTGCCATGGGAGAGGCCTATGTTCATCAGTGTACTAGTATAGTCTGATGACGATGAGGGGACGGAGTAGCGATAGCTAGTGCTGTTATAAAGTTTTCAAGTGTAAAATCTAGAAAGTGAATAATAGTATTAACTAAAATTAAATAATTCTTTAGGTAGTGCTACTGTGTTTACTTGGGGTAGTATACGCGGTTCCAGCTCCATCTTTCTTGGATAGTGTAAGTGACTGCTATGACTCCAAGGACACTTTCTGGACCTTCGACAAATTTGAGAGGAGTTATAGTGGTCATAAAGTTGCTTACAGATTTGGGTAAGTTATACCTTTAATGTACAGATTTTTTTACAGGAGGATACCACTTTATATGGAGTTATAATACTATTATTGACAATAATTACCAATAAAAAATATGAAAAAAATGTTGTCTACTTTAGCTAGCTCCTTAACAATGTGACGTCAGAATGATTTAAAGGAACATTTTTAATATTGCAATATTTCATTAATGGCGGATGAAAAAAACAGATTTTTTTTCGATATTTCGAAACGGCGAAACAAAAAAAACTTCTAGAAAGGTCAATTCAATACTTCTAAAGGTTTGTGTAGTAATGTAATGATTTTCAGGTTTGAACAACCAGACGGTACGAGGCAAGAACAAGAAGGAGAATTTGTAAACAAAGGTGGAGAGGACGTTTTGTCTGTCAACGGTTTTTACTCGTACATAGGCAACGATGGTGTAAGGTACACTACTAAATACAAAGCCGATGATAATGGATACCAGCCTATTATAGAACAGGGTCCTGGTGGCAGCGTACCCGACGCTGTAGTTGCATCTATGCTTGGATAAATGAAAACTGATTAGCACTTATATTAAATAAATAACATAAGAAATAAATAAATATTTTTTGTATTATTTTCTAGTTTTAATTTATTTCACTAAACCTTCTTCTTATTTATATTTTAAGATGGATGGATGGAAAGATGGATGTTTGTTGGAAGGTATCTCCAGAACGGCTACATGGATCTTGCTGAAATTTGGCATACATGTAGAAAACGGTCTGGAAGAACACATAGGCTAATTAAGTTTTTTTTTTAATTCCGCGCAGACGCAGTAGCGGACGACAGCTATTATTAATAATTACATAAAAAAAAAAAATACTTTCTTGTATTATTTTCTAGTTTTAATTTATTTCATAAAAGTAAAAGAATTAGATAATTACGGCCCAAATGTTCAACAACTAAAGAAATTACCACTTACATTAGTTGAAACTTCTGTCGTGCGCTAATTTTTATTACTGATATAACATTGAATATCAGTCTCTCATTCCCTTTTCCCGCTTTCCTTTGCAATACCTGATCACAAACATATATTTGAATCAAATAAAACAAAGAAGTATTTTTTTAACCTCGATGTAATAATAAAGCTGGTTTTATCACAGAATATAGTTTTATTACTAGTTTTATATTGTAAAAGTATATTTTATACAAATGTAACTGTATTTTGTGCCAAACATTATGTTAAGGAATAGTTTACCTGTATTTTGCTTAGTAAGTTTTAACAAAAACTTAATCAATATTTTAAATTATTTTTCTGATTAAAAAAAATCAATTTTCAGTGTTTTCAAATTCTATTTAAAAAGTCTCAAGGAGTTATTTACACGTAGTAAGTGACATGGCTCTTTATTTAAAAAAATTAAAAAAAAAACATTGTCATACATCAGTATTTTAATTGTATTTATGTTTAGCGAAGATGTCGAGTTGAGACGAATTTTTCCAAATGAATTTCCAATGGATACAATAAGACGAAGTGGTTCTCCATTTGCTGAGGTAATTTCTCTGCTAAAATTGTACAATAAGGTATTGTACAAAGATTTGTACAAAATAAACAACAAAAGTTTTCTTAAACGTAATGTAAATCAAATAAAAGCAAATCTTGTCCTTTACTCTATTATAGATAAAAACTTTTACATGCCCCTAAATTATATTAGTAAACTATTTAATTACAATTTTTTTTTTCAGCATTTGGGTCGTTACACTGAACTGAAAAGTTATTTCCATCATCCTAAAAGTAAATTAAATAGTCATTTTGAAGAAATGATTTGCTACAACAAAAATAACAAAAAGGTTAATTTTTTTAATCCAAATTCTAAGGAATAGGAAAAAAAGATAAAATACTTTATAGATGAATATGGAAGTTTGTACTTTAAATATATTATACATATTTAAGTGTGCAAAGAACTGTAATAAACAATTTTTCAGATTTGTAAGATTGATGTGGACCGTTATTTACCAGAAGAAAACAGTTATTACTCGTCTGTAACATCAGAGAGCCATGTTGATAGACGACGCGTCTACTGCTTTATGCTGCTTTGTTTTACCGAAGATGAACTGGACAGAGTCGTAGCTTCTTTTTAGAATCTAGCAACAATTCTAGATGAAAATCAACGAATATTTTTCACGCGCAATAATTATTATTATATTATTTAAATTTTAAAAATATGTTTTATTAATATACCTATTTATATTGAAGACGAAGAAAAACTTCAAATGCATTATTTTTATGAATTTGAACTGTTAGTCGTTAGTAAAAATTTATTTACCTGCGGTAAAAAAATAGCAAACATTGGTTTAGAAAATTTTGCATACAATTAAAGTCTTGTTTTATACAATATATATGTATGTATATTGCAAAACGTATACATTCACACAAAATCTATTTTTATTTAAAAGAAATATTTACTGAACATAAACTTTGGTATTTAGTAATACAACACTACACAAATATTCTAGTAGAAGGTATTGATTAAGCAAAGCCATAGGTTAACATGTACAAAATACATATGTAAATATTATAAGTACTTCTAATTCGCTTAATCAAAAAGTCAATGTTATTCAAAAGCTTGTCATTATATTAATACACTAAAGGTTAAAACGCATCACCCTCCTAACCTTTAAAACAATTGACTACATAATTGTTATAACATCTTTCATAAATGTACATATAATTTTTTAATATTTTTTATCATATCCGTTCCCTAAGACTCTAGTCCTTTTTCAATTGATAGGGGTTTCAATCCCCGAGAAAAATGTATTGCTTTAAAGAAGATAACTCGTCTAAGACACTTAAATACAAGCTTCCAGTAACCCAGGATAATTGAATGAATTTTATAATAATTTTGTATTAAATGCGTAATAAATTTATTTTAAAACGAATCTCCGAATGATATAGGTTAACATATTACACAAGTTTAAAGCTAAAAGAGATTATTGTTTTTTTAAATTGCTAGTGGAGATTTGCCAACACGGCTAATTATTATGAAGCATATCTCTATAAAGAATAAAAAATATTACAAAAGGCCACCCATCGTAGTAATCTTCGAATTAGCCAAGGTCTCATAGCGACATCTTGCACTGGTCAACCATACAATGTTGACGAGATAAACACATGTAAGTATGTTGCAATAGAACTTAACTCGTAGTATATAAAATGTGTTTGCATAGACAGGCAAACATACTTCGATTGTATCGATTAAGTGAAGCTCGCACGCACTTAACTATGAAACTGGTGGGTACAGATGTGTAGTTTAAAAGTGTAGTTTTAAAGTGACTATACGAAGTGAAGTGTATTATTTATACTTAAAATTGCCTTGTTGTCAAAATTAACAAGCATTCAACGGTACAGTTTCTGTAGGACATGCAAAATGTGTACGTTTTATATGGTGAAAGCCCTTGCTTTAGTCATCAGTACACATATCGGAAACATATTTCAGGAGTCGGTCCATAGCTAAAGATTTAGTTCTAACTTTAGAAGTTAACTAATCGTATCTAACGGTATACTTCTTTACTATAAAATCGTTTCAATTATAACTGTTATTCAAAAAGCTGAGACTACTTTATCTGACATTGTTATTCGTTTAACAATTTATCACTTTTAAAAGTAAAAAATAAATGTGAATAATTTTTTCGTGTCGTCAAACTGGAACCCTTAGTGCAGATTTGTTCTAAAAAAGTAGATTCCTGTCATTTAAGAAGCGAGCGTATCACCATCTCAAAAGCCGGTAACGCACCTGCGGTTCCTCTGGTATTGCTGATGTCTATGGGCGTCGACGAACACCTCGGTGTATCCGTTACTCGTTTGCCTTCTTCTCTTATAAAAAAAGAAATTAAACATTTAAGTGCTATATGTATCTAACGATATTAATTTGATTGTTATATTTGTTTTGTTTCCAGTTTTTAGTTCTCTCCGTGTTGTCGGTCGCAGCCGCAGCACCTCAAGCAGCGTCGCGCTCGGCTCCGACCGAAGAAGTTCAAATTCTAAGATTCGATTCCAGCAACGATGGACTTGGGTCCTATAATTTTGCGTAAGTGTGACCACGGACTTTGTTAAGTTCACAAATTTTCTGGTTTAGCTTCCTTGTTTAGCTGAAAATATTTTTTACATGAAACTAAAAACTTTTATACTTTTTAACAATGTTTCCTCTAAAAGAAATTTTCTTCCTAAAGATATTAAATAACAATAAAATAACGAGAAATATAGTATAGTTTATTTTATTTAGCTAAATAACTTTAACTAATGTGTCTAATAGAATGCGGACATACAAGAACTTTGAACTCAAATCCATCGTTTCCTAACATAAATTATCGCTATTAAAATTAACGATCGAATGTTTACAGATTTTAAATACGAAAACATATTACCAAAGTCATTGAAGATTATGATCACATCCCGTATAACTTCCTATAAAATTTCCAGGTCTTTTCAATCTAGATTTTAAACAAATAGGTACTGAGATAGAGGTTTGTTTACATATAGATGTTACTTTAATCTTATAAATCCTTACTACAGTATCATACTTAAAATTTACGTGGATTGACGTAAAATTGTCTTTACGTTTATTCGAGGAAACACGCTTCAGTATACATTACATAGTATCTACTTTGTGGCACAACCTAAAACTTTCAATGCATTCTAAAAACGGTATCAACTATTGAATAGATTTTTTGCGTGCATAAAAAGTCTAGGCAATACAAAGGAAAATAAAATAAAAATAATATGTACCGTTTTTCGACATAGACAACGCAACGATCAACTCAACATTCAAAATTCAAAATAACGTGCTTAAATACGTTGGATATAAGATAAATTTTCTTTACAGTTTCGAACAAAGTGACGGCACAAAGAAAGAGGAGCAAGGTGAATTAAGGAACGCGGGCACTGACGATGAGTTCGTGGCAGTCAAAGGATCTTATTCGTGGCAAGGACCTGATGGCGTAGTATATACTATTACCTACACCGCTGACGACAACGGATTCAAGCCTATCATCGAACAAGGCCCAGGCGGCGGCGTGCCACCAGGAGTTGTCGCTTCTCTGCTTGGTTAAATAGTCATTGTATATAAAATAAACTAAGATATTTTGTTAAATGTTTTATTACTTCTAATTTTTATGGTTTTCGCATATACTAAAAAAGCATATATATTCCATTGACCATCTTGTGTAAACGACTGGAATAAATGGTAACCGCAATTTTTGTATTGCTTAACTTTAAAAGCACATAGAAGTTATCAAGAATTGATCGCTGTTTTACTGAAGACTAGCTGTCGCTCGCGACTCCGTCTGCGTGAAATGAAAAAAAAACTTAATTAGTAGCCTATGTATTCTTCCAGAGTATGCTCTACATTTATGACAAATTTGGTAAGATCTATGCAGTCATCCTGGAGATACTTCCAAACAAACATCCGTACATCCAACAAAACATTCGCATTTATATTATAAGTAAGATATCTGAACATAATCTTGACTTAAAAACAATAATATAAAAGTTTTATCAAGTTAATTCTTTTTGGTACAACATTCTCAAATTAGATGACATATGAAAATAAATTGAAAATTTTGTGTCATCTCAAACGCCATACGACATGCGTTGTTTTTTGTAATTCTAAATTTTGTCTGCATTATACCAAGTAATATAAGTATATTTTTATATCAAGATATTTTAAACGGGTTATTTTAATTATAATTCTGTACAAAAGTTCATAAATTCACAGAAATGACAAAACCCAAGCCAAAAACAGGGGAAATAGTTTTTTCAGCATTAAAGAAATTAATGAAGAACACTGGATGGACTTGCCGCACGATTATTAAATTCATTAAATTGGAATATAAAATATCTGATCCAAGAATTAACAGGAAGGTGTCGAGGTAATATTTTTCATTAAAAAAAAACATAAAATTTGCAAGTAATAATAATAAAGGGAAATATTCACAATGTGTACTTTGTTTACTAAATTGTTTTCCAAAACATATCAACACAAGCCACAGTTTTATGATAATCTGTTTCATGATAGGAAAATGTAGAGAACTAAGTACATACAAACATAACCGTTAGTTTTTTACCACGCATAGATAATGACCTCTTATAGATATGTTGATTATGATAACCAGTAGTTTAATGTTTAGGGTACAGTTTGCAAAAGAAAAAATTAAACCTATTTTCTTTAAATTTTTTGTACTTCACTTATCGTATATTTTCTGAAAAGTTTAAACAACGTTTCTTTTAGGGCATTAAAGCGTGGTGTGAGGATGGGATTACTACAGATGGAAAATGGAAGATATCGTTTGGCAAATAATATGTCAAAAAGTTTAACAAATTGTCGAGCCACAATACAAAAGAAAAGAAGGTGTGCTTGCGTACCACGCAGACAGAACTCAAGGCTTCGTGACTATAGAAAAAATTAAAATCTTTTTTTTTTGAGATTTGTGTTATTTGATAGCTGCATACAATAAAATTACTATTAGGTAACTTACTTATCATTGTAGATTGTTACCTACTAATCCTTGTAATATAGGCAGTTGACTGGATACGGAAGAAAGGGAAACATTTCTTTCTTTATCTTTGACAAAACAGAGATACCTCACGGTTAGACAATTAAAAAAGTCATACTAGCAAGTTACGTTCTGTAAAAAAAAACGTTTGAAGACCTGAGTGGCTAAGTTTATAAAAATTGGTGCAACTACTAGGGTTTACGAAATGGTAGAAATACGTTATATCTAAAGTTATAGTTACGAAGACGTAGGTAGAGTAAGTTCATCTCAAATCAAATATTTTAAAAAGGAAATTTTGTTTAAGTGGTAACTTTGAATTTGGTTTAAAACGTACCAAACAAAAAAAATTGTGATACATTTTATTATGTGTAATCTGTACGGTTCCGTATCTTATTTTAAAACATTTTGTTAACTGTTAGTTTTAAAAAGATTTTTTTATCAATTAAAAATTAAATGTAGGCAAGCGTAAAGTAAAACAAAAATTAAATACTACAACATTGAAATATATACTTTAGTAAAGGTGCTTAGTATAATTTTATCCACATTTTCTATTAGATCGAGAGCCGACATAAGCCTTGTTTATAGTGTATTCGGCGTACTGAGGAATCCTAAAGTTCAAGGCAATTGATCAGGAATAACAACAAAAACACAAACCGCATAATGGACATATCTCTTCTCATTCAAGTTTTAATTTAGTGAAGTGGAGTAGAGTTTTGCAACTGTTCAGTTAAATTTGAAGACATTTTTGTGACTACTTTGTTAAATATTAATCTTAGTAAAAAGGTGTAATGATTTTATTGCATCTCTCAAAAGTTTCTATATGGTCAACTTAAATCTTGTTCTGACTTTGAGTTGATTAAGATAATAATACAACAAAAATATGAAGGTAAGTGGTATTTTAGGTCTATATTTATCTTAAAGCTACAATCCATTTCAATTAAATTAAATAAAATTGTATTTAAAGATTAAAAACGTTGACCATGCTGCAACAGAAAAGTATATTATTCTGGAAATTCATGGTTAAATATTCCTTTATTAATTTACAGGTTTTAAAATTACTTTTGCAACTCAACTTATGTTGCTATGCCGTCAGTTTTGTTATACGAAAAACAAAGATATATCGTCCAATACCGACTGATTTTGTTAATAACTTGGAACAACAATCTTCGAATTTTGCGGGAGGCGATATTAAATTGTATGTATCTATATATTTTCTATTTATTTTTAATATTTATTCAATTGAAAAACAAAATCCCGTTTAGAACATTTTTAGAGAACAATCCTTTTACAAACAGTGATAAAGTACTCAGCATTGGAAATTTAATCAAATCACTTAGAATACCAGGATTCATTGTTTATCGTATAGTTCTTAATCGCGATGATACAGAAAATTATGAGAAAGCTAAATTATATCCAAAATTAGAAACAATTGAAGAAAATAAACACTTATCCAATATTGATATGGAAAAAAGAAATTGTAGCGAAGCTCTTAATTTCAACGAAATAAATAAGGTAAGTTCAGTTAATAAATTATTTGAAGTTATTCATCGCAAAAATGTTCTAACAATAAGAAATGTTTTACAGGAACCCGATTATAAGAATGTAGTTGACCAAAAATTTGTTGAAATTAATTGTGATTTGAAAAGCTCTATAGATAAAGAAATAAGTAAGGAGGAAACTACAACAAATATTAATGAAGTTACTACTGAGATTTTAAACGAGAATTCAACAGTGACGTCCGAATACGATGATGAGGTGGTTTTTAGTGTTACTCATACATAATCACGATTAAGAATAATTCCTAAAATTGGCACTTAACTATAATATTTACTTATAATATGAGGATAATATTTCAACCATATTTCATTAAAAGGTTGATAGTTAAATTAGTGATAAATATCAAATTATAATCTTTACAAAATTAACAAATAAACTGGGTTAAACGTTTTTCTATGTGCCTCAAAGGTACGCGTTCAATGACCCACGGACGCATCGCACGCATGGCTCGCAACGGATTTGCCGATCTCATACGACCACTGTACCCGGATTTTTTTTAAGGTTAACAGTGTTTTCATATCATCGGCTAACTGATTTGTGTGACGTCACCGGTACACAACGCATTTTTGTTCATAAATGCCGGCTTTCGATGCGGGCGGATTATAATGAACGCAGCCCTATGTAAAATCATTAAAAGCAAATTAAAATCCGTAGCGTGCCGTTCGTGTGGTGCATCCAACGAGCGCCAATGAACGCCTACCTTCAACCTTTTTTCATCATTTTTTTCAGAATTATGGCAGTTTATCAGATCGACATAATCTTACCCCAGCTGTAGTGGCGTCGCTATTAGGATAAATATTTTTTAAATAATCGATTAAAATAATTTATTTTTTAATTATAATAAGTGCTCATCTTTCACATTCTGTATGACAAATTCTTGTATCTAAGAATATTTCAAAGAACATCGCAACGTCGTCTAGGTTATACATCCAAAATTCATTTAATTTATTTCCACTATCATCAAAATCTCTGTATAATAAGTTGTTCACTGAACCTCCACTAGGACCATTGCGTAAAGCGTCGTGATTATTAATAATAAGAACAGCTTTGCGGTTTTCTTTCAAAATAAATGATGTATTTTTCGTTGTGTCATTTTGCAATGCATGATTACTGGAATAAAAATTATATTTGTTAGTTAAAGTTTTTTACTTAATATTTTACCTTTTTCTTTACTGTAGTTACATGTTATAACTTGTTCTCATACAACGCGACAAATAAAATAATTATACGACAAGGGAAAAAATAATTCTTTACATCTGAATTTCGTGTTAAAAATTATACGTTGTGTTTGAAATAATGACAGTCCTGACAAAATTGTTAGGTCCAAAAATAATATGCCGCGTGTCGAATTTCCGGACATAAAAGTATTAAAAAATCTTGTCTCGATGACCCCATATTTGCCTATACTCATTTCTTTTTACCAGAGGATATACGAAGAAAAAAAGCCAAACGTAAATTATTATAGTATGAATATCCGAGAAGACAAAGTAGTTACTACATCTTTACTGGGAATTTATAAATTCATAATATACTTACTTTCTCTTTGTTATAAAAAAGTTTAATAAACCGAATAACTAATATGCAGACAATGTTGTTTACAATTAAAATACATTTTAAATCTTACTACTTCAGACCGACAAAGTACAAAGTTCAAATGTAGGCAACATTATTATTATGATTGTTAATCTAAACATATAAAAAACGAACACATTTACTAGCTATAATTTTCTTTTTGTCATACCTTTTTTGTTTCTCGTGGATCGTATCGTTTATTGTGCATCCTATAATTACAATTGAACAAAAAATCTGCAAAAAAAAGTAACTGTAATGAGTTTTTAATGTATTAGACTTTTTGGTATTTATTCTAATCATTCCGAAGAATAGTTACGGATGTGTGTAAACTTTGATGATGAATACAAACATTAACATTATTAAATTTAAACAGATCCTTCTTATCAAGTGTCATCTTTAATGTTCCATTCTTGGCCAATTTACCCTAATTGCCACGACTGGTATGAACAATTCAACGACATTTCCCACCTAACTGTGACAATTAGGAGACAAGGAACAGAGTACAAAACACAGTACAATGGGTATATTTTATCGTAATATTTTTTGTTAAATCTCTATAAATTTAAGTTAAAGTGACATAAATTATTGACTTTCAAGAATATAAGATACCCACATCAAATTATAAATCATACTAAAATATGATATGAACAGTTACTTACGCACAAACTTTTTAAAATATTCATTTTGAAGTAATAATAAATATGGAAACAAGTTTATGGGTTCCGCAAATTTAACACAGTAACAAACCAAAGAATTACACAGCGCTTAATACTTTGCCGGTATTGGAGAATTAAATAAACTCATAAAAATATGAAATGCTTTTCTTAAATCTTAGCTGATACCATGATCGTATTTTCATACTAATGCCTGCATATTTGTTTTCATACATTTAAGTTTGACAAGTTAATTGCTAAATAATGAAATATATTTGTTGTTTGTGTTAAAAAAGCCTGGATTGTTCCCTTTTCAGTTCTTTTTCCATTCACTCCTTCGTGTTTTCTCGTTTACTTAGCCTATAGGCAGATAATATGTATCTGCGTAGCTTAAAAATAATACAAATATTTATATACATTCGTGGTCTTTCAGTGCTTTGGTTTGCTACTGTTTTATTTTTCAAATAGAACGAAAAAAATGACAAAATGTTTTGTACAGGTATTTCTAAGCGAAACCGGCGGTTATTGTTATGTGTTAGATTGCGTGATCAGCAGTCTGTCAGTTTCATAAATTAGCATCAAATGTTTAGAACGTGTCAATTGCTATTTCAGAACCACAGGCGATATTGCGTTGTTATATATTAATGTCATCAAGGTATATGGGTAGCGAGAATTATAAGTTTAGATGTTCAAATAATACACGCATTTCCATGAAGTAGTAATCAAAATTTTAAACCGTTTTCTGTCTAAAAAAATAAATGAAACAAATATTTTAATGTATATCAATATTAAATCTATCTTGAAGTAACATTACGACGTCTCTTAAATTGTAAAGCCACTTTTTGTAAACTTCATTACCATCTTTATCGACTTCAGAGTAATATAAGTTGTGAACATGATCGGGGAGCTCCTTTTTCAATTTATTGCCACGCAGAAAGTTTGCGCTCCAGTCTCTTAGACTATTTTCACTGAACAATTTATCTTCTTCAGACCTATTGTCACGTATTATAATTATTATAACATTGTTTTCAGTCGCCTCGCGAACTCGTTCATTAAGATCTGCTAAACTGATTATTTCATTTTGGCATTCACCCAAATAATTCATACTTAAAATAATAAACAAACACAAGTTTTTCCGACTCATATTACAGCAACCAATAATTTTAGAGTAACTTTTAATATCTAATTTTTGATAGTAACGAAACTACAAATTAAAATTTTATCTTTAATTGATTTTGTATAATTGATTAATTTTATTTTCAATTCTTGACTAACGAACCAATTGAGAAATGATTTCTCTTAGTAATAACAAATGGTTACGAAAACAATTCTCGATGTGTGTTTTAAACTTCACGAACTGAAATCTTGTGTTAAATATTATATTTGGCATATCAAAATAGTGCTCAATACAAAAATTTCAATATATTCTTTAAATTATTTTAATGTAGTTTAAGCTTGAACAATATACAACATAATAACTGCTACCTTGTAAATGTTAACAATCTCAAGTTCTAATGAATAAAGATATCAATATTAAGTTATCATTTTAATAAATAATTTATTATAAAGTTATTGATAAATGTGAAGTATTCAATGGCTTTGACCTTCAAAATATCTGCGTCTGAGAAAATCCAATAACCGTATCTCATTAAAATGTTTTATCCCCAACTGCACCAAATCCTGTCCTCGTTTTAATTTAGAACGCAACCACTAACCGCTTTAAATAACAAGTAAATGTACTTTCGAAAGATAAGACTTTATTTAAATGATGTCTTAAGGGGGCGAGATTTCTTTTCTGAACATTTATTTTGTTGCTGATCAAAAGATTTTAGAGTTAAATCAATTTTTCAACCTTGGAGGTTAAATTTAGTGTGACTGAGTTTGAACCACCTTAATGTTTGAATTTGTAGAGTGAAAATTGTAAATAATGAAGAGATATTGCAGTAGTATTATTAACAACAGCTTATGGTAATGTTAAAGCTATGAAAATTCATACTAGTACAACTATTATAAATTACAGTGTTTAATGATAATTGAGTAGAAACGGTACTATTTTATTATCTTCCACAGTATAATCATTGTCAAAAACTATGTCGTACACTAGAATACGTAGGAGTTATAAAGGTTAGAAAAGGCAACGGTTGTGTCACTGTGTAATTTCCCTAAAAACAAAAAAAGTAACTGCATTTAAAATTGTATCTTATATTTCCTTATTTATTAAATAAACATTGAACGAGACATTTCTCACGATTAAAGCAGCTGTTCAAATGTAAAATACCTATCAGATTTGGGTTGCAAGTGAGCATTTATTAAAATAATTTATTTAACTTTTAAACACAAACAGATTAAAAAAATAATAATTTGTATTGAGATCGAGACGTGGAGTAACACTTATATTTTGATGTCACCAGATCGGATCAAACTTATCAGTTTCACCGTTGTTTAAAAATAAATTTCTGTGTGTTAAATACATTCCAATACAATACAATAATATGCCCTAGTTATTGGTCTCATAATATATTAAATATACAAACTACCGTAACCAGAGCGTAAAGCCAATTTTATACATTTCAACTTCCAAAGCACGTAATAACATCACTACAAACAAGCTGTGTTCATGCCAGGGTCCTAACATTAGGAGGATGCTCTTAGACTGATAAATTATATGTAATTTAAATAATAAACTGCTCTTTACAAATAAGCAGGAACAGAAATATATGTACTGAAAACCAGAAAGCAACAAATCACGTAGAGATACAAATTTCCTACACTTTCACTATTTGTACATATAGGTATCGCATTGGCACGTGCGCATGGTCATAACATTTATTACAATCTGAAAAAACAGTACATACAATTTGGAGTTAGATGATTCTTATTTTTATGGTCAAAATACGGTAATTAATTAATTTGATCAACTTAGTAAGTAAAGACTTTCATAGAAGTCTGTCTGGCCATAAATGAGAAAAAATACTAATAGTCACCGGGACTTATTCCATTTTTCACGACTACACAATAGGCGAATTAAACGGTCATCATTATGATGTACGAATCTAAGAAAACGTGACTAAATGCCCAGTGATATTGTTAATAATCTTAAACGTGTTAATACAATAGGAAACAAAAGAAAGAGGAAATGCTTAATATACCTTCTCCGTACTATTCTCTTTTAGACGACTGACGTCATCGGTGGCTTACCAGCAATAAAAGTTACACGACAAGTCATCAATCATTTTAAGTTCAACGCAAGTGCACATAAAATTCTCGTAAGCTGTGCAATTTGGGTGTAAGATGGGTTTAGATTTGAGATAACAAACTACGGTATCACATACACCTTAAAACAATTCAGACATAAAAAAGGAAAAAAACGGTGAACGTTATAATTTATTAACGACACTGAAATACAAAATGTTTTCATTATAAATTTAATAGATATTAACATTTTTGAGGTTTAGTTTTTTAGTACTGTATTTTGAAATCTGAAATAGACTCTATGTACATTAATTTCCTACAAAAAAATGTACTGAGAAATCAAGAATTACTTTCTTCAATTTACGTCTTTTGCCACATTCCTTATACACTTCACTAAAATCATAATTTATTGTTTTTTTATTTAAATTAACATTAATTTTAGCTGTCATTTACATATGTACTAAACGTCACTTGTGAGTATTATAGCATGCATCAATCTTATTTGATGATCTGCTTCGTGTAAAAATTCATATTTTATCAAGCAATTAAGTTTAAGTGTCATATTTTTTTAAGGCAGTAAGAGAACTTATTCGTTACAAGAATCATAACGATGTGTATACTAACTACGTATGCATGTACAGTGGCGTAAGTTGGCGACAGTCCGCTTACCTATAGAAAAAAATCCTTGTTTATTCATTAGACACACTGATAGTTTAGACATTCGCGTTTGAAAGAGGAAATTTTCCCTACCTATGCGTTAATCCGTCGCCAAAATATTTTCCCTTCCCACCCTTCCCTTGTACAAAAACGCTGGATAAGGGAAGAGGACTAAAATTAAGCCTCTGGAACGCACACTCGTTTTCATGCTTGTTGTCTGTGCAAACGTGATATTTCAACGGTTGAGCGAGCCCATTCGTGCATAATATGTTTCCTGATATAATGTTGGTTTTGCCACAGTTGCTTGCCATATCAATGTTTTACTTAAATAAAAACAACAAGAGAAATATGTTATTTTAACAAAAAATTAACTTTTCAAGGCGAACAATACGTTCAAAAAATTTTAACTTCAGAAGTTGAATACCGCCAACAAGTACTACTGTACCTACATTTATGTAGTCGTATATATGTATGTACACTTAGAAAGATGTAAGCTTTATTAAATTTCGAAATCCAAGGCTTTAAAATTTCACAATACGTAAATAACGTAATACCTAATTTGACATATTTCAATTGCAAATAAGTTAACCACTTCAATTGTAAAATTACATCCGTTTAATTATGCCTTCTAAATCAATTTTTCATTTTGTTAAGAGTGATTTCGATATTAGCTAGACAAAAATAATGTTTCTTTACAAAAATCTTTAGATAGTAGACCTTGTATTTCTTTTTGTAATTCTCTATCTTAAAACGCTAAAAGTTTCTTAATACCCTGATGACTTTTAATAAATCTAAAACTTTAATATGAATCGTTTATTTTTATTTTGAAATATTTTTATCAATTTTTCCCAACATAAGTACTATTAAAGAATTTCAAAATACAATGGGCTTCAGTCAGTAGATATAGGAATGATATGTTTTATCGTCTCAGGAATTTAAAAACAGACTTGCAATGACAAACTGGTATTTAGGATGCTTGTTAAAAAATGTAGAAGTCTTTTTTATGTTTGTCTTCCTGACTAATTAGATATTTTATCTTTTAAAATATTCCGTAAGGCTGAATTGTTTTGTTGTTTTTGTTCTTATTTTCTCATATAACTGTACAATAAGTCTAATTATAAATTGCATATACATCGACTTGAAAATTATTTTAATGTGTTCTTGTTATATCTTAGGAAAATAATTACATTTATGTAAAACAGTATGTTACTTATTGCGTGTACATGTAAATACATATCTTCTTGAATTTATCTTTAAGCGTATTAAGGATTT